GATTTACTTCAAATGGTAACATCAGTAATGCTATTATGGCACAAATTTCTGCTTTATTCAAGTTACACAATATAGGCAACATCACAGCAAGAACAATCAAGTGTGTTGATTGTTTCACATAGGAATGTAGAGAAACGCTTCAGAATAGTAAATACTTTAGAAGGAGTAACTTTTTAGTCTGAGGCTTATACTTGGAATGCTTGAGATTTCTCCCATGGAAACTAGCGTGCTTAGGAAGAGTTTCAGTTCTTTTCCAGTACAACTCTACATTCAGTTTACTTATTGCCAGCATTGTACGTATTTTCTAGAAACCCTTCCCCAGCCTATATTGGTATAAATACTCCCTTTTTCTCTTAAGCAGTGTTTGTAAGAATTAGCCTTAAAGTATTGATTTCCAAACTTCTTGGAGTGCAGTCAGCCTTCAGTTTCTGTCAGAATTACACCTGTTCATAACGTCAAATTATCTAACAAAAATTTAGCTGCAGCAGTAATAACAAGGTAGCGTAGTATTGCAGACATCTTAGAGCCTGAAATCCTGTTTGGAAATCATTGCTGTAAAAATTTTGTGATTGGGAATTAAACCCTTCTAAAGTGTGGATGCCTTTATAATAATCTGTATTTTGCAACTCAGCAGAAAAAGGACCATTCTGAAAACAGCCCGTGGTTATTCTGAGAAATGAAAATCAGAACATTTATTTTATCCTTCTAGTCTCTAGGGAAAATCTGGTTGCAGATCTCAACGTGTCAACCAGCCTTACTTACAGACTTCCCTGTGAAGCCTAAGATTGTGCCCTTAAGTGTATGCAGGCCTATGCACTTGCCTTTTTAATATTGAGGCATTATGTTTTTAAAGCTGAGTAAGAGTTTCTAGCGTTAATGTTCAATAAAGATGTATGTAAATTTCTAGGGCTTTGTTTCTTTCGAAACATCAGTAACTAAAGCTAGGTTACAGATACTTCCCACTAGGAGCTGGTCACTGTTAATTAAGTCTTCTTAGTGGGACAGAAGCTAACTTGCTGCCAAAAAACGCCTCGTGTTTAATCTACCGTGAATCATTTCAGTAGAAAGCTGTTTGGTAAATAGAAGTTGAATGACTTCCTTGTTCGTTACCTTTTGAACCTGGACTCCTCTCTGAGTTGTGTAAAATGTGTTGTTATATTCTCAAGTTTTCCCAGGAAAATTACAATAGCAAATGCATGTTCTTGGAAGTAGAGTGCATGATGTCTCTTAAACCTACAATCTCCTCCTAACCTCTTGTAAGTCACCTCTGACTTGCCTTTGTTTCTGTCTTTCACCACTGGTTCTTTTCTCATCCCTTTCCAAGCTGACTGAATCTTCTGATGAGGTAACCAACTTTGTCCCTCGTTTCCCACTCATCTTCCCTAGCTGCATAGAGTTGAACCTTTTGGTAGATACAGTACAGCAGCCTGATTTAGTTTGTACTGTTGTTCACATATTAAGCATAAAATCAATTTTGTGTTTCCAGAATGGTTTTTCCCCATTCACAGACTTTATTTTTAGAGCCTAGCAGGTAGCGAAAAGAGAGAGGAACCTTAAAAAAACCAAACCCAAACCAGACAAAAATCACTTCTTCAAGTGACTATTGACATCTTCTGATGCTGAAATATGTGGCCTTGCCTTTATATTCTTCTCTGTTGCCGTCACTGTGTTTTGTTTACTGAAGAGCCAGATGTTTTTGGGGGGCTAGGCAGAGATGGACAGTACCGGAATGTCACTATCCTAGATACCAGTACTTACTGAACCTGCTGAACTTACTGGACAGAGATAGAGAGAGGTTTGGGGAAGAACGGGGGTAACCGCGTGAAGCAGCGTAGCGCAGGGAACATCCACTCTGTTGGTTTCCTACAACTGCTCTTGTGGGAACAAGTGGCACTTGTCCCTGGTGACTTCTCCTGTGGCACAGGCTGCAGAGCCGAGCGGTGCCAGGTCCCTGCTCCTGGGGAGTGTGTGGGGGCAGAGGTGCAGCGGGGCAGCTGAGAGGGGCCACGAGGGTCGTCCGGTGGGTTCTGCCACGCCTCAGTGACATTGATAAGCTTGAGTTGTGTACACTTAAATTAGGACTCTCTAGGGTATTGGGGGTGTGTGTGTGTGTATATATACATGTGTATGTAATTAGGGAATGTTTATTGGGCTCATTGCAGCGTGCCAGCCCTTCTTCCAGTGTTCAGACTTTAGTGTTGCTGCTTACTGGCTCTGAGGCAACGAGCATCGATGGAGATTGCACAGCGTCTCCCTTGCTCTGCAGCGTCATTTCGGCGAGCCTTTCCTTGGCCGTGAAAAGCACGTATCGAAGTAGTTATTTTGAGTTAGAAAAGGCAGGCGACTCTTTGTCAAGGCTCCAGTAGTGGCACTGGTTATTTTTCAAAGGAGGCTGGCTTGGCCTTGTGTAGTCACAGAGAGCTGAGGAGAGAGCCCTGCTTGGGAAGGGGGAATTCGTCTGGTCAAAACCCTCGTTTCACACTGCCAAAAAATCAGGAGCTTAATCTAGGCTGAGCTTTACCATCCACACATGAAGGTTCTTCCATTTGATTGTGCAGTTTATTTCTTGGCATCCCATTAGTGTCTTGCTCTGTGTACACATAAAGCCTTTTGATGTGTTTACCATTTCTAATCTTCTCTGTTCCTCTTATGAAATATTTTCTGAATCCTAATGTTAAGAAACAGCTTGCCCTGTAACTCTAATTATACCTCTGCTCTTATTTAAGGTTTCTGCAGTGCCTCCACTTGATGAAGAATTGAGGAGGTCGGGTTCATCAGAGGAGCGAAGACTCAACACGGGAGCTGTTTCAGATTTCCCACCGCCCACGGGTCGCGAGGTGATTTTGCGCACCACTGTCCCCCGCCCCGCTCCTTACTCCAAGCCGTTGCCCCAGCGCATGTACAGCGTGCTGACGAAGGAAGACTTTCGACTTGCAGGTGCCTTTTCAGCAGATACAACGTTCTTCTGATGTAACCAGCTGTGTTACCTTGTGTGTCTTCACAAGTAGGATGCTATTCATTTTCCTTCGAGGAAGTTAACACTTACAGATTGACTGGCTTGCGGTGAGGAGAAAATACGGTCGTGGTTAGTGACGGAGTGTCATGTTCCCGAGGACAGAGCTGAACTGGCAGCCGAGAAGGACACCTGTAGCAACTCTAACCTGGAGGTTTGGAATGGCTTCACAAGTAGATTTAATCGGATCTTTGGGGAAGAAAGTTTAGCAGTCTCCTCTCTGTCCAAAGGGAGCGTGGTTGGTTTTTTTTTTTTGCATTAGCTTGTTTAATAATGGACACGAATGGGCTGTATGCGAATACATCGTGTTGAAATTCATGCAGAATGTGCCGCTTTACAGTTCTTAATCAGACTTTATCAAGTGACATTAGTCTACTTAAATTGATGTGCAAACATTAAGTAATTTGTATTTATTGCTAATTATAAATATTGAGCCCAGTATTTTTTGGTTAATCACTAAGTTGCAAATACTTCTAAAATATCCTTAATTTTGTTTAAAGTATACAGTACTTTCTAGTTCATGCTAAACTCCCCTAGCATTGCAGCAGTTGTCCAAAAAGATCTCGTCTTGGACACTTTGCCCAAACAGAAATAAATATATTTGGGGCTATAGCCTTAAGTGGATCGCTCACGGCTTTGGATACTTTATATCCTTCCCTGCACGCAAGGGCCAAAGCTGTACGTACATGACATGCACAGAGGTGTTTCGCTGTGGGCAACTTGCTGGTATTTACAGAGACCGTTTGAATGCATACCGTGTCGTTGATCTGGTACGATGAAACAATTCTGTCGCCTGCTGTAAACTAACCCCACTGGATATCATGCAAACACTATGACGTGTATGTGCCAATGTTGCTTCACAGTGATCTTTGTGTGTTTTAATGAGAAGCAGCAAAAGATCAGCGTTACTTTACATAATGAAATGTAAAACCAGCTACAGTATTGTTGACGTTATTCAATAAATCTGAACTTATTATTGGTTCTCAGACTTCTTTGGGTACTAGCAGTGGCTTTGTCAAAACACTTTTTAAGTGTCATCCTTGCGTGATTTGACCTAGGAGCAGCGTTGTTTATGACTGTGATGACATTAAGTTGTGTCTCAAATAGTAGGGTCCCAGGTATTACCCTAAAACTTCTTTGAGGGGAGAGGGGGCAGGGGCTAGAGTGTTTCCCTCAGATAAAGGTGTATCAAGTAGAAACACGTTTTTCAGGGTAAAAAAGAGTTAATTGTCTTCAGAGAAAAATCTTGTCACAGAATTTGTTCTCCACGTGTTTTGTGTTTTACCTGAGGCACATTCCTCTGATAAAAGGGATAAGAAAGACAAAGACCAGTTTAACTGTCTAGCTGCTTCAAAAGACACTGCACTAGGCTAGTTACTGAATAAGTACTCTTCAACTTAAGCTTCCTCCCTGATACTCTTGGTTTCCTCCTCTCCTGATGTGCTGTCTTCATGAAACTTTAAAGCGTAGCCTCTTGTAAAGGCTGTATAAACTTGAAAATCCCTGACTTAGTTATCAAGCTGTTGTTACTTGGTCTTTGAAACTGCTGAAGCAATGATTCCTTTAATCACATGGAGGACACAAACATCATGTAACACTTTTTTTGGGCTGGAAAAGTGGCTTTTGTGGCATTGCTGGAAAAGTCCAGTTAGTTTCACTCTATAGAAAATGGTGCACTTGGACCATTACCTTAAGTCTTTAACTGAGAAAAAGAATGTTTGAAACTTTAAGAGTTTTTCCCGTAAGGATGACCCAGAAAGCTTTTCAGCTTATTTGAACTAGATGTACTTGAAATTGCAGTCACGTACCTTCAGAAAAAGACGTGTAGTGTATGGATGTGCTTTATGAACTTAGTACTCTGCCCTATGGCATTCAAGGGGTGGGGGAGAGACTGATAAAGCATTAAAAAAAAAAAAAGATCACCAGGAAAAAGAGAAATGTATTTATTTGAACTAACCATAAAGAAAGCCCCATAAACAGTCCAAAATAACCAGCATCTCTGCAATCTTGTTAAGGAGAATGCACCTGTAGCATTTGCCAGAAACTACCTTTGATGAGATAATAGCTAATATTTATTGTTCCCTATCATGAATAGGTTTTTAATACAAGCTGGTTTAAGTAAAATGGGATTTCAATAGACATTAATTCTAACTGTCGAAGTCCTGTAAGTCAGGCCCAGTGCCACCACTAGGCCTGTCATGGCTGATCAGAGCATTCCCAAGGCTCCTGTTGCTATGTTTTGTAGCTATGAGGCAGTTTTAGAAGAGACAAATTACTCATGCTATTTTTGTCATAACAGATATCAGAGCCTGTATTTTCTCCAGTAATTTCGGTATGTGACCAAAGAAAAGAATTTAAACTAAGATATCTTCTTGGTCCAAATGTCCCCAATACAACTGAACCCTCTAAGACTGATGGAAGTTTCAACAGAACTTCCTCAAGTTCTTGCAGCTATAACTACGCTGTAATAGGAAAACAGTAATGCTTCAAAATTGCAGTAAGGTTCCACACAGATTCGGCTTTAAACCACAGGGTCCTAAAAATATAACCATGATCAAGTACCTTGGATGCACTCGCCCAAGGCCCTCTGACAATCAGTGTTATAAATGATTTCTTGGATTTAATTCCATATTTTCTTCCCTCTACCAACAGCATGATAGACTACAGAGATTTTTTTTTTTTTTTAATCAGTGCATGAGGAAAACTGTGTGACTGTACTGGTTTCGGAGTTGTAATGTAACTGGATATATTTTGCATTTTAAGTCTTCACAAAAAATTTGGTGATATCACAGCCGTACTTTGTAGCTAAAGAACGTCTCTTCATCTGGCTTCTTTCCTTGGCCTGTTTTGCAGTTCTCTGCAAGAGAGAAAGATAGGTCCATTCCGTAAGTATTGTTACTTGGCAACAGTGTGCTTGATGGAAAGCATTAGCCCACAGTTAAACTTCAGTCTAATTTTGCGGCAGACAACATAATAAAATGCAAATGTTTATCGAGGTGACATTTTCCCAAATCGTGAGGAAACTGTTGTATCGCAACAGTTTAATGCTACCTTTCATCTTCACTGTACGGGATGGAGAGGCTGGGAGACGGGGGTTGTTCAGCCAGGGACAACAGGGCAGAGGAGGAACCTCATTACAGTCTCCTACTGCCTAAAGGAGGGGCAGGAGCTATGGGAGCCGGGCCCTCCCCAGGGGCACAAAGCAGCACTGGCACAGAGCCCTGCCCGGGGCATTCCCGTGGGACGCGGGAGGAGGTTTCACCCTGAGGATGGGCAGGCGCTGACCAGGGTGAGACAGTGCAGGACTGCACAGGGCAGTGCTGAGCAACCCGCTCTGACTTTGACTCTAGCCCTGCTCTGAGCCCGGGGTCAGGCTACGTTACCCTCTAGGGGTCCCTGTGCCCAAAATACTTCTGTGATGTGATCCACACTGCCCTGGTGCACGGTCCACGACATTTCCGCGTGAGAGGGTGAGGGTTTCCGACCGTACCATACTGACCTCTCTGTGGCAGACCGTACACAGAGTTTGAAGGTTTTCCAGGGAGCACTGTCCTCCTCCACTGTAAACGGGCTTGATATGGTCCGCCTGCCAGAACTGGCCTTCTGTCGGGTTTGTTACAATTTCATTCAGCTGCAGTAACAAAGGACATGACACTGGAAGCCTTAGATATTCCTTCTCAACTACATAGATGTTCTACCGTAAGAACAAGAAAATAATTCAGGGAAGTAGCTATTCATAGTTTTCAACAAGAGAAAGAAAGTAAGCGTTAGCATTTTTTTGTTACTCCCACTGGACAACTGTAATTTTAGTTAGCCTATTTTCACCTAGTCTGCAGCATGCTGAGGCACCTGGCAGCGGATCAAGGAAGGACAGAATGAAAGGTTCCGTTTTCTTGATTGGTACAGTAAGTTATCTTCAATGTCGTTTTATCAACATCAAGTGCTGATATTAAAAACAAACATAGACAAGTAAAAAATGTGCAACAGCTTGAAGAAGTGGACTCCGACTAGGTATTTGTCATTTAAGTTTTTGATCGAGAGAGCGGGAATTGTAATAACGAGCTCTGAGAAACCTCAGGCGATAAAGCCCTATGTCAGCTTTCAAAAAGGTAACAGACCCAGAGTGCCCTTCACTCAGAAGGCTGTAAGGAAACCCCGCTCCACAAGACTGCTCAGTCTTTTGGATGCGCACCACCACATTTTAAAAAGCTGCAAGCAGTAAAGCTGATCTCACACATACGACCAGCGATGGTAAGCGACTTTTTTTTTTTTCTTTCCCTCTTTTGCAAGCTTAAATGGATGTCTGAAGAATTTATTTAAACAATTTGGAACCAGAAACTTCTGAAGCAGAATTTCAACTTTGCAGCAGAAAATAAAATAGCACTTTAGTTTCTGAATAAAAATACCACTTTACATAGGAACGTTCTCCCTCCCTCCTCTACTGCCTTCAAATCAGCAAAGAAGCAGTCACAACCATGGAAGGACAGCGGTAGTTTTAATGCACTTTGAGGCGATACTGAGAGGAGCTGTGACAACTGGCTTTTGTTAAGCTCCTACCAAACATTCTGCAAAGTCAGAATAACCTAGTACTTCTAGACCACAACCATTCTTAAATTGTTTCATAGCCAGAAAGTTTGTTAACAAAGTGCATTTCAAGTAAATCTGACTGCGATATTCACATCCTTAAGGAATCCGAATTCTGAAGCCTGTGCCTTTTAGCAATGAAAAATGTGGTAGAAGACATTGGGGTTTTTTGTGTTTAAGATTTTGCTTTTTCTTACGCTGTTGTTGGTGCTAGGTTAGGCCTTTGATCTTAAACCTGTAAGAAGAACATTTTGGATTTCTCTGAACTATCTGCTACAGGAATACATAGATTAGCTGTTACTGCTTAAAACCCAGTAGTATTACCTGCCCAAGTGGGAGGTGAGACATCCAAGAACTCTGCAGAAGTTTCTTACGCTGACTCTTGGGTGCATCTCTGATGCTGAGATAAAGCTCCTGGGCGTTTTGATTACAAAACTGGCAAACACCGTGTTCAATTTCAAACACTTTAGTCCGAAGGTAGCTCTGACTAGAGCGAATCGAGAAGTCCTCCTGGCAGGCATGAGAGCAGAATCGTGTGTCCCAAGCACGGGCCTGGCAGCCTGGGTCAAGCTGAGCCGTTGGCTGTTGACAGCTGAGACAGAGTGGGTTCCCTTGGCTGTCCAAGGCTTGCAAATAGCCTTTGGATAGGGAGGAGCCTTCGGCTTCAGTCTGCTCGGAATGAAGAACTGACAGGCCTTTTCCATTTTCTGAAAGCAACCTGTTTGCAGAAAACAAAGTACAGCTGTTAATAAAGGAGGTAATCAGCAACACAATTCAGTAGGTTTTTTTATGCACTATATATTTCCATTAGATATCCTTTATGCTCTGAAATACCAATTTCAGTTGCAATAATATCTTGCTCAGATTGATACCTGCACAGTGCAAATCATCTACTTGGTTTACGTTTCCATTTAAACAAAATTTGACAATACAACAGACAGATTTTTCTTTTGCACATCTTAATTCAGTGTACATGTGTAAATGTAGTATCAGCTGAAATAATGCTGTATTTATAAAGAAATGGTGGTTTCTATCAGGCATGTACACATATAAACGTAAAATGTTTCAGCTCCCTCTTTAACAGAAGTAAAAAAGTCAAAAGGAATCATCCTGGTTTCTCTGCGCAACCTTCACAGCTACCTATCGATTTCCTGCTCTAAACAAGGCTTACCTCCAGGCAGGATACACACTGCTTGTTTAATAGAATTTTTTAAAAGGGCATTTTCTGTCTAGAATTTTCATGTTCTTTTCTTCCTTTTTCTAAATTTTGAGGCAGAATAGAAGAAAATTTGGTGTCCCCAATTTGCTGTTGACCTCACAAGCGGGTCTGAGCTAACGTTCTTTTTTACTTAGCTGAATTGTGTAACTATTTTCTTGTTTTGTTTTAATCAGACTCAGTTAATTAGCAGCTATATCAGCAGACAACGGATGTAAACTAAATTGTTGTAAGAATAAAACATAGCTCATTAGCACTACAGCAAGTTTCTCATCTAAACACTGTACTTCAGCAGGGTAAACACTCATAGCAAGTAATTTTGCTACCTTAAAAAAAATCTGTGGAGAAACAGCTTAATCACCTTATTGCATTAATGAACTTACTTTGTGGAATGACCCGACTGTCCAATAGAAGCATTTTCGTTCTTCAGACAAACCCCACTTTCTTTAGAGATGAGGCGCACGCTGCCCCCGCTGCTGCTAGCTTTGCTAAGTGAGGCTGCTGCTACATCCTCCTTGGTCACATACCTAAGATAATTCAAAATTCTGTCAATATACTACAAAGGGAACAATCTCCCTCAAAGAATATTCACTCTTGGCTGCAGCAAGATTGGCACGGCATATTCTCTTGAGACATTCCTCATTTCCCGGATGAGAAATGAATGAAGTTTGGGAAAACGTATTTCACCATAATACTTCCATATTACATCAGATACCTTTTTCAAAAACCAGATTCAGCTCTAAGCAGCAGATAAGTTGTTTTGTGTATACCGATATGAAAATGAGAGCAATTTGGTATTGCCTGACAGCAAAATCTGAAAGCCATTTTGTTTCAGTTAGGTGAAGTCTCACCGATACTCTAGCTAATGCAGGAAGCTTGACAAGCTCTGGAGGACTCCGTGCTCCATTAGTTACGTTTGAACTCACTTCTTTATTTTAATGTGAAAACATACAAACCACCACTGCGCTTAAGTAAAACTCTTAAAATCGCTTCACTCTGAATAGTGGTTTTTGGAAGAATGATCAGACAGCTTCTCATAAGTACACCTCTCTGTACTATACATATGGCAAACCCTATACACTACCTTAGAAGACCACTGTAGGTTACAGTAGATTTTCTAACACGGTTCACAGTTAGATCTGTCCTACATTTTATGGAAGGAAACAATCCGGCAACAGGTTAAGAAACATTTACTACCTGCTGGTTCTCCTTATACTACTGGAATTACAAACTCTATTTACTTACTTGAATTCTTACCTACAGCCAAAATAGAGTCACTCTGGAGAATTTAACAGTAGGGACTGAGAGGAATAAAAAGGTTTTAGATAGTTTGCAGAGGCACCTTGGTGAGTTAACCTGTACGCGTGAGAAGTTTTGTGGAGAGCAATGACAACACTGAAGCTGCAAATGTCTGTCAGGGAAGACAGCGTATCAGAAAAAGGAAAGAAAGTGGAAAAAAGGTAAACTTAGATTTTTAACAAGGATTAAACACTAGCCCTTTTCAGTGACACCCAGCAAGGAAAACAATAGTTTTGAGAAATGTCATCCACAGAGAACAGAATTGCTTAAAGAAAAAATGAGTATCGGAAGGGGTTGGAGTAGGCTGTGAATTATGAATAAAGCATTATATCACTGATGGCAACTAATGATTTATTCCTGCTTCCACGTGGGGAAAACCAGCAAGATTTTTTTGACCTTACTTTTCTTTCGAGTCCCTGAGGTCATGATTTTTTCCTCAAAAATCTCTGGCAAGTTCCAGGTGCTTAAATATGCAATGCAGCAAAGCCAGAACAGCTGCTGAATGCAGCACAGGGCCGGACAGGGAAGCAGACACTTCCATTCCAACAGATTTACTGATGTGCTTGGTTGGCTACGTTTGTCACTATGCAACAAGCAATCATCGAACCACCAGTTCACAGTCTCAGTATCATTCCACTGAAAGTTACATTCAATACATCAAACTTCCTGCAGCCACTAGTAAGATGATAAAAAATTAAAAACACATACCTTTTTGTGCTGCTGCCCACTGACTGCTTTTTAGACAACTCCTCTGCAGCATGAATAGGACTACAAAATATCTGACCGCTTTTTCTGACAATCTTCTGTTTCATTGCTGTTAGATGACTCCATTCTTTCACAAACCTCAGTATCTGGTAGAGAATGCTATTTGTCAGCAGCATGACAGGCATTACACAGGACTATTTAATGACAGTGGAAGAGTGCTATGAATTAATACGTTCAAAACTGGATGAAAACAGCTGGTATTATCAGAAACAGTCCCTTGAAGTCATTTTTCATACAAGCTGCACACACACGCACACACACACCCCACCTGCTGAAGAACTCTGACAGCTCTGGTATTGTCTAAAATAACGGTTCTGCTACAATAGGCGTGTTGATCCAGAAAGTAGAAAATAAGGCCAGAAATGGCCTTTACTAATCTAAGGTGTAGCAACAGCAGAAAGGTTTCTTGATAAAGCCTCAGGTAAACCTTTCTTGTGTAAGCAAGACTTTGCCGATGGGAAAAACAGACACGCAAAAGAGTGTTCTTCTTACAGCGGCCATTCTCCCTGTTGCAGCAGGCCTCTCAGAAAAGGAAAGTTTAAGTCCCATTACTTGAACGGCATTTATAATTGGGTTTACGGACAACCTTTCTTCTTTGCTCTAACCTTCTGCTACATGCTTAACACTGGACTAACAATCTGTAGCGTACAGCCCCTAATGTCAGTGTGGAAGGTTTAGCTACAGGTAAATTGGAAGAGCCGTTCAATTCAACCAGGTGTTAGTCCATTTCTCACAAAAGTTTTCCAACTCGTAAAATCTTAACAGAATCACTGACATACTTGCTTCGAGGTCATTATATTCCTTTACAATAATACAGTGTCAGAAAAACATACGTAATAAAAATTATTATAGTAAATTAGCAATTAATGACATGAGAAGCCAGATCACCAAATTATCTTAATTACACATCTGTTTTTATGGCAATACTGCCATCCTCTTTTCTGTGGCATTTCAGTTCAGCGCACAAAGATCTGACTAGCAAGTAGAGACATGCTTTACCATCAAAATATTCAAAGGGCCACACTTTTGAGCAGTTTAACCTGCAATTCATCATCTTTCACAGTAATCTCAAATTTACATCACCACAGGATCCTGAGGAAAAACAGATTAACTGTTTAAAAAAGTATTCCAGAAAGGAAATTGAGAACAGATCATAATATTCATCACCTTTCCTTATTTTGCATTTAGAATTTGAAAGTATATTAAAATAAAGTGGCTCCGAAGAACTTAATTTCTGGTACTGAATCTAGTATTTTTTTTACAGGCTGGGAAGCCACAAAAAAAAAAACCCAAAACCCCAAAACTTTGATGCTGTAAACTGACAGGACCAGTAGGATTAATTGATTTCTTGAATAACTATAACCACGGGACAGTGAGGAAGTGAAGGAAAAACTGCTCCTACATAGGAATTTAGAATTTATAACATGACTGCTTGCTTTAGGGTGTGTGTAGGGGGAAAATGATTTCATCCCACCCTCATCTCTACAACAGAAAACAAATGGGAGTAACAATATGACAACTGAACAACATGACAACTGAACAAGTGGCTTGGGTTGTGGGTTTTTTCCCATTCTGGTTTTCCACTCTTTTCCTCACTGACTCGTAACTACCTATAGCAGTGAGTATCACGTTGTTTCTGAACACGGACTATGGGAAGAATAAGTACATTGTGAAGTAAGGACTTAATTGTGACTTCAGCTTTATCCAGGAACAAACTTCCATACTTCAAGATCACGACATGCCAATGATTTTCTTTTTCTCCTTGAGGTATTTGTACATGGCAAATGTAGAAGTGTACAGATGAGTCTCACCTCCTCAGAGTCAGAGCAAGGAAGAAAGTCAATGAAATGGCAGGATATAATGGAAACAGAAACAAGAAGGTATCATCTCCCTGATTCTTTTCGGGAGCATTTACTAATATGGATCTTCTAATCTAGAGGAGAAGGCTGAGGGACAGGAAGTTCCATAAGGCAGTGCCACCCCCTGCCCACAAACATGGGATTTTTAACTTGTCTTTTCAATCTAGCAAATAGCTTTGAAACCCTTTGGCAACATTTGTGTTACCCACTCATTAGCTGCTTCACAAAACTGTTGGTTGAATCAGTCAGGTATCTGACTTACGAATTTAAGTTCCAGCCTTGCTGGAGAACCTACCAAAAAATCAGTTTTGTTCCTACACGATAGAATCTGATTTTCCCAATTATATTTCTCTTTAAATGGACAAAACAGTTAAGAAAACTATGTTAAGCAGATAATGCACAGCCAATTCAAATTCTGTATTTCCTTACTTGAGTACTTGGGTTTACAGTGTTAATGTTCTCCTCAAATACCATTATGAATGTGATCTTTATTACTGAATCAACTGAAGCTACATGTCTCAGTGGAGCTCTGCCCCACACTGCTTTGAACGTTGTTAGAAGACCAAAGGAAGAAGTGAGAGTGGAGGCCTGCTCAGAACTACAGCTCTGATACAATCTAGCACATTCTTATTCATAATGTGCCTCATTTAATTCATAACCTTTAAAATGCTATTTTGTTGACTTATGAATGTTAGTTACTAATCCTGTAAATGAGAAATTAAATGATGCCTGGTTGATTCCATCTACCGAAATGTTAACAGGAGGCATGATAATTTGCCAAAGTAACAGACTGCATAATTAATATTCACATCAACATTTATAAGATCTGCTTGCACTGATGAAACTGTGCCTAGATCCCAAGGCCTGGAAGTGTTACACGTTTATTTAAAAAAAATAAGTCAAAGCACTCCATATTTAATAATATTTTACTGTGCCAGTAGAATTTGTTCTTACCGATGAACGATTTTGTCTATGCTGGAAAGTCTCTGGTAAATCCTCCCAGTTATCCAGCTGTATGTCCAATGGAATGAAATTATGATTCAGTGGTTCACCATCCTAGACAAGCAAATAGTTTTGTTTACAGATGCAATGTAGCACAATCTAGAAAAAAAAGTTATCTATTTCAAGAGAATCATATTCCCTTCCTATTAAATTTAGTCCCTTGAGGTAAGATCTTTCCAGAAAAAAAAAAAAAGCCACAGATGTACGATAATACCACAGATGCAAGAAACAAGGATTCACATTAATATATCTAAAAGTAAACAGGATGAAAATTTTAACTTTGAAAATATCTGAATTTTTTTCTTTGCAAATAGTTCAGACACACAAACTGCCCTAAATTAAGAAACTGAAATTATAATCCTCTTGACTGAATTTCCAAGGGAAATGAATGATTGTAGACTGGAGAATGTCACTTCATTACAATTTAAAATCAGAATCTTAGATAGAGCATTGTTTATTATACTTAACTTTTTTTTTTTTTTTAAATGTCTGAACAAGCGCTACTCCACTTAATTTTTAACGAACAAGTTGTCCCAGTGGGTACATATGACCCAGGAACTTACTGATGATTCAAACACATTCGAGAGAAGGAATCAAAGCAGAATTCCCCAGTGTCTCACGGTTCAGCAGAAAGATTTTCTGCAGTATTTGGCATAGTGAAATTCTGATCCAAGCCAAAAAACCCCAGACCAATACACAGTTGCCCAAATACCATCCAAAATGCAATTTTGTCTTAGAGTAAAATGTATGAAGCTAGGAAGCAGTGTACATTTTAAGCATATTAAACAAGTTTTCAGATACAAGAGGACACTCTCTAACTTTTTCCCAACTGTATCAGTTAGCCTAATAAAAATGTATTATCTCAAAGACTTGTCCTCAGTTATTTGCGATGCTTTGCAGTTGCACCTGAATACACTGACTCAATTCAGTAGCTTTGAAGAAATCTTCTCAGTGAACTTTTCTATCCCTTAAAAGAAGGAATTGGAAAGTCCCGATTCCCCCTTGAAAACTGCTAGTTTCTGTACTCTCATCATGATTGCAGATTAATGATAATGTGTTTTGTTCAGGCAGTTACTGACTTATATACAGCACCAATATCTAGCTTTCTGAAACCGTGGTGACAATATTTTATTTACTTAGTCTGTAAAGATTCACTGTCATTTTTATTTTAATTTTGAATGTTCTCCTATTAAAAATATTTTGTGATAAGACACTATAATAAAATAAAGGAATCTTAAACAACTATCACTTGCATTTCTAACAGATGATCTGACCATACATCTAATGTATTAGCCCCATTTTGTAAGCTAAGAGAAGTGTTAGAAGTCATATATCTAGGGAATTATTACTCAATTCCACTGAGAAAAAGAACTAGAATTATAAACTACCTAATTTTTATACATATCATCTAATACAAAAATACTAGTCTTTTTATATAAAAATATAACAAATGAAAGTATACATACATGTTTCATAGGACAACATTTTAGTTTGTAATTTTAAAATGATAATAAACATGCATATTTCAGGTTTACCTTTGTATAGAGGTGAATTCTATCAGTATTTCTGCTTGCACAAAACATAAGCCCATCATATATTGGAAACGTGTCTGATTTATCTACATCTCCTATGAAGAGAAACAATGTTGACATTAGAAATTTTTTTCTTCACTCATTTCATTCCATCTACTTAGACATTAAAAATAATATTATACATGTTTTTAAGAAGTTATTTGTGAAATTCCCCAATTTGGTGTACATGCAAACACATTTTTGTATGAACATTGTAAATCTTCACTTTTTTTTTTCCTTCAAATGTTCAGCAATCATGGAACAAAACCCAGGAGAATATATACCACATGAGGATTCTGAATCTAATTCCAGAACAACATAATAAGATACACAGCTCAAGCAGCAAGCTATTAAGATATTTGTGTATTTTATTTTTCTGTTTCTCCTGAATTATCTATCATCTGTTTTGCCTGTGGCTGTCCTGAACACAAGTACATGCCATCATAAGTTTTAATAAAACTATACAGGTTCACAGTTGCTAGTTTGACATAGTTCTTATGTCAGCCAAAAACTCTGTATTGCTTCAGGAATTGTACGGAAAGGCTTGGTTTATCCATCATCAAAATTCAATAAACATTCCAGACTAAAACGAGAAAGTCACGTGCTAGTGTATGTACTTCTGTCTGTCTTTCAGATGTGTAGGTTTTTATTTAAAAGTTATTTTTCATGCCAGAGGCATTTAATACAGTTTCGCAACGGGGTATAATCTTTCTTTCATAAGAGTCCCGCTTTACCTTCTCCACACTTTTTTTCACTTTCTTCATTTTCAATTTCAACAGTTTCTTGTTCGCTGATTTCAACAAATTGCTGGGTCACCTTTTCCCCAAAATCTTCTCTTTTATCTTCAGCATTGCACACTGCGCTTTCTTCATTTCTTCTGGAGTCCTTTGACACATCTTCCTCAGTCTGGCTAGTGGGAGCTTCACAATTTCTCTCGACTATAGGGGAAGAAACAAGAAAAGCAATTATTTATGCTACCCGTACAAACAGGAACCCCTAATCAACATACGTCTGGAGACAGGACTATAATTGAAATACAAAGAAACTGCATTTTATTCTCTAATGGTGCAACCACTTCGGAAATTAGAGCTACCATCTTCCTCAGTCTGGCTAGTGGGAGCTTCACAATTTCTCTCGACTATAGGGGAAGAAACAAGAAAAGCAATTATTTATGCTACCCGTACAAACAGGAACCCCTAATCAACATACGTCTGGAGACAGGACTATAATTGAAATACAAAGAAACTGCATTTTATTCTCTAATGGTGTAACCACTTCGGAAATTAGAGCTATCTTTAATATTAGGAGAATAAACACATGGAACAAAGTTTTGCATTTATGCAGTTTCATGCACCCAGCTTAATGTCAAAATATACGCAATAAATAATGCAGCTAGCAATTCTTTATTATATACAGTTATTGTATACCATAAACACACAAAGAAGTTTTCCAGGCATTGATCTATACTTGTGAAATTCAGAAGTTGTCCTTACTTGAACAAGCACAGAGACTTAAATAAAATAATAATAAAAAAAAAATAAAAAAAAAGAACCTTACTCCTTCCTTTGCAACTGAAATGGCAAATATGGGGATAGATTTATAAAAATGTTTTATTAAGTTTCCAGATAGATTAAATTAATTTAATAAAGGACATCTACTCTGACCTGTTGGAGCAAGAAATGCCATATTTTCCAGGTAATGTCTCTCACGACAAATATACAATACCCAAGTTAATAAAACAACTATACCACACCATTTACTTTTGGCAGGTAGAGAAAAAGTTTGCCATTCAATTAGATTCAGAATAACCATAAACCTCAAGGAAAAGGAAAGCTACATTTGCTGCAAAGAAAACTGAGTATAAATTCAGTGAGGAAGAATATATATGCTGTTAACCTTTACCTGAATTTTCCATTTGTTTCCAACTAGAATCATGTAAAAGATCCTTGGGGAAAGCAAAATTAAGAAGGATCACTTAACGGGTATCTGTTCACTTAAAGATGCCATTCTTCATATTTTGCCTGGATTTGTGTATATTCATATATTCAAAAATACTGTATTTTCTGAAACTAATCACAACAAAAAAATGCGTATTTTTCTCTGCAGCACAGGTCACTTACCATTACTGCTTTGCGGGCAATTGCACATTTCACAGTAAGGGAGCAATTCATTATTACTGTAACTGCAAACACTACAGTGCCAAACTTTATTTAAAGCTGTATTTTTGCTTGAAGTATTTAAGCCACAAGGAAAGACTTCATTGTTTTTTTCTGAAAACAAAGAGGGCTTTTTTCCAGTCAAAGATGTTTTCTTTTTCTTACTGGAGTTGACTGGAGTTGATCCACTTATGCTTCTTGCTCTTTTAGCTTCAGGTTCACAGTAACTTTCATGACAAATTGTATCCACGTCACTTATTCTTGTGGAATCCAGGTTTTCACTGCTCTTCTCCGCATCCTCTTCTTTTGTGACTTCAGAAGATTCTGAATCATTATGTAATGATTCATTACCAGAAAATATTTTGCGTTTCTTCTCAGTGGAGGATTTTGGGGAAAAGAAAGAACGTATGTCATGCTGTCTTTCCTTTTCAAACTAGGAAAAAGGAAACAAATACGTAAACCCCCGCTTATAATTACTGCATCAGAAGCTGTTAAAATTACGATTTTTCTCCATTAATATTACTCTAACACAAGAAGCTATTTTTACTTTGGAGATGGAAATAAAAGATATCTTCCTTGAAGAACAAACAGCTAGCAGAAAAAGCAATTCAACATTCCCCTTCTGTTTTGTAAAAAGTATTTTCAATATTCTCATGAAAATTCTGAAATAGCACTGCCAGAAAACAAATACACAGAACTGGTATGCTAAGTGCCTTTTTCTGATGATGCCTATTACAAGGAAAGGCTTTAAAACATTGTTTTTAAAATAATAGCCAATTAAATTCAGTACAGTTAATAAAGATGTAATTTAAACAGAAATTATTTGGTCTTATCTGACTCTGAGGGTGGGTCAGTCACCTAAACAAAACATAAGGACCCATCGGAAGCCTGTAGATGATATTTATGCCCAGCAGAGCACTTTCCCCAACTTCACCTAACTTTTAAAATGGAATTTACATTACTTTTTCCTACTTATTTATTGTTTCTCCATTAGTAAAATCTGCAGTGCGCAGAAAGCTTAAGTGAACAATGGTTGTAATTTTTTTTAAAAATGAAAGAAAAAAGAAAAACATAAGTTTTGAGTCTTACATGTGTAAATAAAAGTTCATTTTTGGGATCTTCTAGACTTTCATTTGGGGTCCAGGTCTCAGCAAAATTCAAAAAATCCCATTTCTCCTTATCACCTTCTTCAGCCTGCATTTTCTCTTTCTTGCCATTCAAGGTGCTGCCTGTAACTTTCGCCTGCAGAAAGAAGACTTGCATAAAGTTTCCAAGGAATTCACATGTTGTAACAAATTTATTTACCTATATTCACTCAATTTGCTTCCCTTGCAAACTTAATTCACCATTTGCAAAGTAAGAAACTGTAGTAATTCAAAATAACTTCCGTGATTAAAACTATTCCTCTTCCAGCAGCCTTTTCTGCAAAAATAACAGTGAGTAGCGTATTTAACACACTACGACTTGTGAAAAGGTGTATACAAAATGTTAGTATTGAAGTTAAATGAGAATATATACATTGTGTACACCTCTTACAGTCTTTACACGTTTTGCTTGGTACGTGGAAACAAACAAAGGCAGAATTAATTGAAAGCAGTTTAGTGAAAGAACTCTTGTACGGTAAATTGTTGGTGAATTACTGAGACCACATCTGTGCAATGTTTAAGGAGACTCTTAATGTACTGGACTAACTCAGATTTTTTCAGAGGTACCAACAGGAATTAGAATACAGAGTTTCATTCCCCAGCTGAACGTCAAATACAGTTTGCAGCACCTAGATTCTTTAAGCTGTGATTACTTTTCAGCAGGAGAGGAATACATTGGCAAAAAAACCGGTTATCAGTTTCTCTACTAACTGTATGGACACAAACAATTGCACCACTACAACACAGGGGTAGCCAAAAGCAGGATCAACCACCATAAGTCGGCATTTGCATCAGAAGAAACCCTGTGTAACCACAATCTCAAACAATTCTGACAACTAGAGTTTAAAAGGCAGTTCCTTCTACGTTGACACTTCTGGAAATGTCAGAAAACAAGAGCTGACAGAATACAAACACACCTCAGTTATCAAAACAAGACACTAATGAATGGTATCAAAGGCTACAAAAAGGTCACAAAAGCAAAGCAGACAAATTATTTTTTCTTAGTCCTGTGAAATCTCAAAGATCTTCCAAGTAAGGAAAGAAAGCAGGATGGAATTACTCCTCCTAACAAGGACTGGGTAATGCTTGAAAATGGCAACAGAAGATAAGATTACTGTAATCTTGGGTCTGATGAAGAAGAATTATTTAAGAATGTTTCTGCCTCTAGAAATGAAGTTTAGTAAGGCACAAAATTCATCCAATTAAAAAAAAAAACCAAAAACAAAGCCAAAAAACTCTAGCTGTTATTATTGTGCAGAAAACCTTAAAATTGTAAATTGAACAACCAGAGCAATAAAAAGCTAGGAGGAAGATAAAGCAATGATCTCCTGTAGATGTGAACCATCCCATTCATCTCGGCAGAGAGTTACCTTATTTATCTTTGGATCTTAAACGGAGAGCAAAAAGCTAGAAAAGACTAGTTTGGAACAGACATGGACATATTAATGATTAGCAGTTCTAGGTGTATCAATTTGTCTTATAGTAGGACAGTGCTCCAGATAAGCAAGAAAGTTATTTGGCACACGCACATAAGTGCTGTCTTAACCACAGCGAGCTCTTGATTATTCAGATCTATTCCACACATACCTTGCGATTCAGCATTGCCCACATCAGAGTATCCATTGTTCCTTTTGCAATAAGGAAGTGAATATTCACAGAACTGCACTGCCCAATTCGGTGTGCTCTGTCTTCTGCTTGCTTAATATGGCCTGGATCCCAATATAATTCAGCAAACACAACGTGAGTAGCAGCAGTGAAAGTTAAACCCTAAACAAATAAGTAGATGCATTTTAGAAAAAAGATTTCACACACAAACAACTGAATATCTGAAGTAAAAGAAAGCTAAAGGTTGTACAGGACATTTTTATATGGAAATAAGAAGGACCATCTTGACAGCAGATGGGCCTATTACACCGATTTCTTCCTTGGGCCTCAGATAGATATAAGATTAAAAAAAAACCTCAATATTGTGCAAAGATTGCATACTGCTTTTCATTATGGAAGTAACATTTATTTCTTATTAATCTGGTACTTTTAAGGAAATGGAGTTTTTACTAATTAATCAAGAATGAGATGCTGCTGCTTATCTTGATTTTGCTCAAGTAATTTCAAGAGAGGCTTAAAACAGTTAACATGATTAGTGCAAAAAAAATGAATACACGAGTCTACAAAAGACACATTGCATAAAGATAAATTGCCTTCAGTAAATGACTTCAGTCAGCAATGTATTTAGTACCTATATTCTTTAAGTTACTTATTTCACATATTTTCTTTTTTGTCCTACCTGACCAGCTGCCTGAATACTCAAAATAGCAACCCGGGTATCAGGATCCTTCTGAAACTGATTAACAAGATGTATTCTTTCTGCGGAAGGAACACTTCCATCTATTCGTATGTAGCGAACCTATAACATATCATAATAGAGACAAAATGACATTGTCAGTGTCCGTTTTTGGACCAAATCATCCTCTGTCCCCCAATGAAAATATGAAAACATATGATCTATTCCTATCATGGGGATAGGGATGCATTCAGTGCTCTTTTGCCCTTTGATTTACAATTAAGCCTCTATCTAGAGAAGTGTAGACTTAGTACTTTACAAAAGACGACAGAAGGAACGTGGGATCTTAAAATGGAATACTCTGCAGAAGAATCTAATTTCCCTGACATGATTTATTGAAATTCCAAGCATTTGCAAAATAATAACAATATAAAATAGCAAAGTTAGCCACCATTCCCCAGCAATGGTTGAGAGTCCATGATCAAAATAATATGAAGGTTGTTTGCAAACATTTTTACTGCTTTGAATTAAACGTTCATGTGAGATGATAGTGTTCCGTTAAAAAAAAAAAAAGAAGCACATTTGTAGAAAAACTTGGGAAACAACTGCCTACGACATTGATTCAATAATAATAAAGTATCATACCAGATATGAGCGCTTACATTATCCTTAAATACCAACGAGTTCTTCAAAACCACACGATCCCTTTTAATCCAGTGGCACGGATCTGTATATACTTAAAATTCATAAATTCCTGTACACACAGGTAGTTCTACTGAATTCAAACACAGCTCATATGTATTCGTAAAGTCTGAAGTTAAATTTGTGGGCACATTTGTTAAATCGTTACCTTATTTTCTATAGCTGCCTCTGTACAGGCTTGAAGCATGCTTAAGTGATGAGCAAAAACTAGAAACTTCAGTTTGTCATTTTCGAGCATCATTTTGATATAGTCCTTTACTGCTCCTGCCTGGAGTAAGAGAGTGCGTTTTCATTAGTTAGACATACAAAATATTCAAAAAGACACTTTTTATTTTAATGTCTTTCAATTCTTGTAATACAAAATGGTAGATTTCCATACTTTTTGTTATCCATTTAAGATTTTATCAGCACTAACATTGTTAAGTATAAAATTATTCAAATTAATTTTGTTTAAAAAAATACCACAAACTTCTGTCTTCGAGAAACCTGTCTCATTCCTTCAGAGAAAAAAACCCACATTTATCCTCAGAAGATCACATAATTACATGGCACTTCTTCCAGATTAAGATGTAGATAAAACCCCTTTTAGTTACAACATCATTATCTGATGTTTTAAGCCATATTTAAAAAAAAACAAAACTGATTTCTGCCCACACATATTTCAAATGGACAAGGTATTGTTTAATCAGAACTTCTGTATCTGCGCCCACATAAAACCATATATCAAAACTGAAAGAATAATTTTGATACTTTCATGATACTGTAATCATAAAATATTGCTCTATTTAAACATTCATAGAATTCTTTTGTGTCAAATATAACTTTCAGTACCTTTTACAAAAGCTATTAAAAGTAATGATGACAGTTAATAAAATTCATCAGTGATCAATGGTTAATGCAATACCCACTGCAGCAGTCCTCAGATTTCTTTTTCTCTCCTTTTTGTCTTTCAACTTCCTGTTTGAAAATGGATTACCAGAGGGGAGAGACTAGAAAAGTGGGGAAGAAATAGCAACAGAACCACAGTGATATTTTTAAGACAAAGAGAAAAAAATTTGAAGGAGTTGGTCAGATTCTCAACTCTTACTGCTCCAGCAGCCTGCAGAACTTTTTTTTATTTATCCTTTTCTAAAACCAGGTTAGCATAATGAAGCCTGATAGCAGGGTAAAAAGTAGGCATGTAAAAGATTTTGGTTGTTAACTTGTTTTTCCTTACATCTTAAGCTATAGTACTATAGGAGGAAACATAGAACATGGGGTCCCATTGATAAAACAGAAAGAGATCAGCTAGAGGGGATTGTTTTTCCACAGTTATCTGTGGGGAGAACCAGTACTGACAGAAAGCAGTCTGCGTAAGGGCTGCATCAGCACCATCCTCGGTCAGCTGCAGCAGCTGCCAACACACAGGTACGTCCCTGAAGTACCCACCTTCAGTATATCCCTCAGTCTGTGAGACCCATTTAGTGCTGTTGGGAGACTACGTCTGGACAGTCTCAGCCAGCTTGGTGGATATCTAATCAGTAACAGTTTTAACACTTAGCTCAGGTCATTATAATGGGGTTCAGCCTATTCCACAAACATACAGGGAAAAAGAGAGTGTTTCTCCACGTCGCGATTATAAAACAAACCAACCAACCTCATCTAGTATTCAGGCCAATACAACTAATTTTATTAAGTTAAAAACACACTGGGTATTTTACATATATTAAGAAGAGACTTCCACACTTACCTTGGCAATGGCTGTTTCTTTATACATGCGTGTGATGAGATTCATGACCTGAGAAAAGTGGCTTTCAGTGGCATCTGAATTCAGACTTCTCATTAATTTCTCCCACTCTGCAAAAGTGGCATTCAAATTCTAATTGGCAGAAGAGATTAGTGGTTAGATATATAGTGCAAAGCGTGTTCTACCTCAACATGTACATTTCAGGCATAAAACATTTAGGAATTGAGTACTTTTGAGAACTCTATAAAATTTGGCTAAAAGTAACTGTGGGATTCAAAATCTAAGGGAAAGGAAAGGAAGACAGACAGAAAGGAATAAGATTGTACTAAAATTAGAGCAAATTTTATCTTTATCTGATGCCAAGAAATTGCTATATTCATGTTCTTCATGTTATATTTTAAAAAGAATAATGGAGATGCTATGCTATATATTCACACATTCTTTGTGACTATGTATAATACACATGCATACATATAAATACATAGATATTACTGTTTACTAACAAATGTTAGTAGCAAAAGTGGAAAATTTACCTTAGCTGTGGCTTGTGGGAGGTCAAATGGAATACGTTGCCTAACTTTGGGAGGCAACTGAGTTAGAACATCATTCTTCAGTCTTCTGATCATTATTTCACTTAAAAGTTGATGTAGTTCTTCCAAATTTGAAGCTCCTCTACAGTCCCATTGAGTTCTTTTACCAAAAAACCTGAAAATTAAAAAATCAACACTGAGGGTAAAAACTAGCTCTTCCAAATTCAATAGAAACCTTCAGTACATAATTAATTTTAAACGACACTATTAGATATGAAGATGTGCTGGATAATAACAGTTGGTGTTCCTGTTTACACCAGAGAGATGATTGCTTTGTCTGATTCCTTCCAACGCTAAAGTCAGAGCTGTTTCAACTTCCCAGCAGATACTGCTGCCCGCAGGCATTACCACCCATCAGATGCATGCAGTCCTCTATATCATCCCAGCTACGCTTCCCTTTCTACAGGAAGCAGAAGTGTCAGGTATAATTTTATAACTCTTGTTTCAATGGACTAATGAGAAGAATATACCACCATGAGAATGCTCTTTATTATATTATAGAGGGGAACAACTGACAGGGAAGCTATCGTGAAAGCTGCAAATATCACCATTAATATTCCTTTGTTTCCCTCCCTGAGAATTCCCTCCTAGTTACAGAGATCGGATTTAAAGCTTAAGGTACCATCTTTAAATATAATACTATTTAATGAGCAAGGTTAAATAGAGGAAGTAGGTTTAAGGTTAAAAAGCTAAAGGTTGAAAAGAGAAAGAATTTATTAGTCTTCCTTGTTCTTTTTTTGCTTTGTTGTTTTTAAAGAAGTGTTACAGCAGGAACAGCAGCTTTTCTCTGTCAACATTGCCAAGAGATAACAAAATAACGAGCGTGGCAGATTTTGCTGCCTTTGGAGAAAAGCCCAGGTAGCATTTTCCAAGGCCAGGAGAGTATGTTGCAAGCATGTAGTTTTACTGGTAATTTTTTTTCTTTTTTTTAAAACCCCATCATTTAGAGACTTTTAAGCCTTACTGAGCTTAATCAACAGTGTTCTGTAATCATTTGGGAAAGGGGCTGAGGGACTCACTTCTACACTGGTGAAGTATTGGCCTAACACACTCAGAATGCTACGTAGATGGAAGACAGCAACATCTTTTGCTCATATCCATTCTTTGGTCTATTTATATGGCTGTCCTTAGAAAGGTTTCCTCCCTCCAGCTTGAGCACTGGCTATATGAAAGAAATGGCAGGCAAAACCTCACAGAAATACTTTGGTCCTCATCTTTAGAAACAGGTGTCTATGAACACCTACGTAAAAAAACCCACAACGTTTCCACAGAAAGTGCTGCATAAAATAATCCTATCAAGTTTATTACCACATGATGTTTTGTTTCAGCCAAGTCATACAGACAAAGTTATTTATTGAAAGCTTGCCAAACCCTGAACTTGATTTTTATTACATTTATGGCATTCCAAAAATAAGATAATCATCTATGATTGAGTAGCTAACCATGCTGTACCCACGCACACTTGTGGTGTGAAAATTACAGATGCATTCAGTCAAAACACCATGGAAAAAATAGCATTTCTCCGTCTGAAAATTAGATAGCACTCTTCCATGTTATTTGAAGTTAAATGCTGATAAAACGCATATGATGGAGGGAGAAAAACAAGTTATATGAAAATGAAACCATGTAATTATTACTGTAAAAATTAAATCTAAATGCTAGCCAATTTAGCTGACAAAATCTATTGTTTTGAATATATGTAAAGTTGTAGATAAGACATTTTTTAGCTAAGAAATTTTTCAAAGCTTCTTCCCTTCTCATAATTTCTTTCATTCCAGATTGTAACATAGATTCAGACAGGTAAAAAGCATTTTAAATCAGAGCTTCTCCTATCCCATCTATTTTAGAATATATCTAGAGAAACCAATCATTAAACTAGGGCTGAGGGAAGCGAGTCAGAGAAATGAGTCCTCCTTAAGTTAATAACTTAAAGCACATGAAAATTCATGAAAGATGCAAGGGATACAAATGGGTTAAAATTCATTAGGCACACGTGCAATGAGCAATGTTACCTAGCAAATTGGAGGCAAGGTGTTGGACAAGAACTTACAATGCCTATATTTGATCCCTCAAACAGAATTACAAACACTAGTGTGCTTTGGGGAGTTTTACCTTTACTTTTACTCAGTCAGTCTGTAAAATACAGAGATAAGCATTGGACTTTTTTTCCACCCAAGTATGGTGGGATAGCAAAAAGACTGGATCCCATAAGAGAGAGAGATGTAAATTATTACATGATATGAGCATAAGACTGAGAATCAGAAACTCTTAAATTTCAGCTGTTGCTGAAACTCCAGCTCTAAAGGTAAAACCTATACACTTTATACTAGTGACAGTAAATTTGTAAATCATTTTACTTAACAGAATGCTGGCACTTAAACTTTATTTCAAACTTTAATAGCTTCCAGTTTTGTCCTCAAATAAAGTCTCCTGTCAATTTAATCCTTCTCCCAATCCTCTTTGACGGAGGAGATTGTATCTGACCCTGGGTTTCCAAGCAAGATGGTATGATACAGCAGTAGAGGTACTACTTACTGATTCTCTCATTTTATGTGAGAAGAAAATCAAAGACACTCATAGGAAAATAAATGAGCAAGTACATTAATACCTGACACGAGCATTGCAGTATTTTTTGGCATATTCACTCCAAGTTCCAAATCTTCTTGGAAACAGTGCCTCAATCTGCATGAAAAGCTGTATAAAAAAAGTGATAATGAAAAATTCCCTGCAAATGTAAGACTATTCAGAAATAATAATTATTACATGATTATTGTGTTAAGTTTACATTCAACAGTTGCACAAAAAATACACAGCTTGGCACACATGCAAAAGACATTCCATAGGAATAGGCATGTGTCTTGAGACAGGACAGCTGTGGGAAGCCCTCAAAGAACAGAGCACCCTGAACACCGTAACACAGTGCTGACGACTTGGAAAAGATTTATACTGAACGTGAAAACACGGATGAGAAGATGTTATTCCTAAAAATACAATTTTTGTCATTTGCCAGGCTTCTGCAAAGCTTCAGTGCAGGTATTCCATGAATAGTCTGCTTCTTAAAATACTTGAAAAACCTACTCACTCTTAAGTTTTACTTCAAAAAATAGACAATGTCAATACAGACCAGAAATTTCACACCTTTCTTCCCGGTTGAGTAACAGCAGGTAAATATCAGTTTAGGCAACCTTAGCCAGAAAGAATCCTACTTTACAAGCTGTTTTACTTTCTGGATTCAACGATCACTACTAGATCCAAGACACGCTGTTGAGGGGTAACAGTGGTAGCATAGAGACAACAGTAATATGGAAGGCTCTCTCCTAAATGCATTTCCCTGCTATCCTCTTAAGTCTACTGTACATAATTTCTGCCATTTAAGCTTTCATATTACCTAATCACATGCTAGTGACCTCTCCCAAAAAGAAAATTATTACAGCCTAATTTTGTTCTTCACAGGCTTCTTTCAAGACAGAAGTTAGAGAGCTGAAAAGAAATATTAAGAAAAAAAACAAACCAACCAACCAAACCCAATTTATTCACCCAAGTGAAATGCTGCTATTTTGACATAGATCTAGGCCAAACAAGAAACTGTAATTATTTGCTATAAATGTACATAAATATAAATGAACAATGCTTTTCATTTTCTATACATATTCCATTTAAAGACTTCATAGAAAGATTCTGCTTATGACACAGAACTGATTAAAGAGACGTAATGCTTTTTACACTCTGCCTTATAAGCCATGGCAGAACTTATATTTTATAGGTATCACTATAAAAATATCTCAAATTGTTTTCCATTTGGTCATGAATTTTGACCCCATTACTGTGATCAAGGACAGCTTGTATGGAATTTCCTCTGAAGACCTTTAGCAACGTTGCTTACTGGTTTTGGTATCAATGCACTGTGTAAAAGTATAACACTTTCTAACTTCACTTCTTCCAGGGTTGGTTGCAATGTCTTTGGTACATGTGCAGGAAGCTTCATAATTATCCACACCCATAGATATAATTATTTGTTTTAAAGTTTTAAGCAAACACTCATAATACACCAAGCCCTTTTTCATATAGTGGATATCCTTCTCAAGTTACAACGACTCTGAACAAATTAAATTATTAAAGGGTCCTGGCATAAGTTCTGTTTACACAGCAAGAAACTCTAAAGTGTAAAGTATTATTTATATAACCCTTGTAAGTTCCCTGGATACAAATCAGCTCTTATATTCTATTTATTTCTACATTTGATAAATAAAGGCAGTTTTCTTGGGTTCAGTATAAAACACAAGTGATTTTTGGTTTCCTCTCTGCTCCTACCCAATTCCGTAAGTTGAACTTCCTTCAAAGGAAAATTTGTCTTTCTGAACCGGAACAAGCACAGGATATATTTTTTCCACTTACGCAATACAAGTGAACATTAGGAATATTCAAAAGACCAGCGATAAACAAAGGACTTCCTGTATCAGATGATAAAGTAAAAGATTTAATACAAGTTCTTGTCTACCAGAGACTCTCCTACCCAGTAGAAACAAGTAGTTCTCTGCTCACGCTCTTTATTTTCTATTTCACCCAACAGTCAGTCTGTAACATGCGGGATTAATTTCTTATAAGAAACACTGTCTCAAGTCACCTGTGCATGAGCTTGAAACAAGTCTGTAAATCATCAATGTAGTCAACTCAAACTAAAAGACATTGTTTTAGTTTCTTATACTTGTGCTTCCTAATGCAGCTAGTGCACTGTTTGATGTCATAATGCATGTAATTGTACATATTCAAGAAAACTACAAAACTGTTCATATATTACTGATATTGTCCTTAAAAAAAAAATATATACAAAACACAATATGCCAAATACCTCTTCAGGTCTTCCTAGAGCAGGAGTTCCAGTAAGAAGAATAGCTCTAACAGCTTTCTGCACAATTGGCAACAAAATCTTGCTGCGGGTGGCATTTCTGGATTTCATATAGTGTGATTCATCAATCACAACTACCTTAAAGTTCTGCCTGTACAAAGTGTCTACTAAAGTCTGTGCATCAGAAGTTAACAGGCCATACCCCAGAATCGTTACTTTGCTGGTTGATATTCTCCTAAAAGAGAAAATCCAGAAGTTTTCTTAGTAAATTTTCATTGTAGGAAAATTAATACAGCAAAGGAATTATACCAAAATAATTTTTTTTAAGAAGGTATGTATGACACTTTTTGGATTGATTAATTAGTGGGCTGTCAGGCTAATAACAACAGCTTTTGGCGTTTAAAACATTTTAGCATCTCACACTTATAAATCACACACATTTCATAACCATTTTCATAAGACACACATTGCATTTAAAAGGAGGTTCATTTATCTGGTTGCATTGCTTCAACTTATGCTCCTTTCCAGGAGTATCGCATGGGACAAATCCACTTTCTGGATAAAGAGTTACACACACAAATCAGATCATTATGAGCACACTACATAAACAGCACCCAAACACTGGAAGTAATAATGTCTCTATGCAAGCTATCTACTGCTCTGTGTACAGTCACCTTACCAGCAGCCTAAGATGACTAACTAGACTGTCGTTGAGTATTTAGGTACTGTAAAAGTACAGTCTGGGCTCAACCTCACCACCTGAAAAAAAAATGTTTGTATCAGAGCTGCCTATCCAGCTTTTTTGCTCGGACAGAATATGAAGAAAACAAAAAACTGGAAGCAGGGAATCAACAAGGCACAAGATGAAAAAATTACTATTTAGTTGGAAAGGAACTTCTTACAATAAAATTAAAGACATATATGGGCCCAAGGCACGAACTGATTTTCAAATCACTAGAGAGCACTGTGGCCCTTCAGGAGCCTTTGAGCAGCACAGGAACTCTTATAGTTGTTAGCCAAACAAGTAACCAGAATGAGAGTCATAGTTGGTCTACCCATCTGTCAGACACTACCACTCTGCTGGCATGATTTTTATTTGTTCTCCAGTAGCAACAGATTAAAAAAAACAACTAAGTTGAAGTTTCCTTGAGTATATAAGAGGAAGAAAGTATGAGCATGTGCACATTCATGCTTCTGGATGTGAAAGAAGAGGCAACGGTTAGAGTACTGGCACTGTGGTCAATGCACTACAGACTCTGGCTGTTACTGTATAGATAAATGTAGCAACCAGGAAAACAAGAATTTCCCCTGCCCCTTTGTGAAGGGTGGAAAAAAAATTACAAATAAAATTATTTATTCTTAGTGGAACCAATTAATCCAAGAAACATCCAATTTCAAATTTAGTTAGAAATCATAAGAACGTAAATTGATGCCTAAGTATATTTTAACCTGTTTAAATTAAGAAGTTAAACAACATTCAAGCAGTAAATTTCATTGCTGAAGTTTTGAAGAAAAGCAAAGTATTGAACTGAGAGAAATCAAAGCTGAACATATGGAAGCAGAATTTAACAAAATGCTAAACCAAGTTTGGCAGCTGTATTTTTGCATTTGCATTTTCTTGCAAATGCATAAAACACTTTTTAATGTTAAAATATTAATTAGTTCAACAGCTACCTCACTTATAGCTAGGAAGCCTCCTGGGAGTTAAACAAGCAGAAACCCAAGTTTTCCTCTTGCTGTCGAATAAAAGTGAGTGATAACAGTTAAGGTCTACTCCTTTTAAAAATCTTTTAAGATACAATTAACAGAATTCTGTTTGCCATTTACTTTTGCTATAATTTTCCCTTATTTCTCCTTTCTGCATTCAGCACTATAAGCATTAAGTTTGTGTGCATTTTAGCTAAATAGCTTTAAAAAAAAAAGGCTCATTGGATCCTTATTTTAGTTCCCAAATTCCTATGATAAACTTAAATTTTAACTATCAGTAGCAACTACCCCTTGATTAAGCTTTTAAAATGCATTTTCAGTTGGATTTCTCTGGTTACCACAAGGAAGGTTCCAAGCTATTGTCTCATCTGCACATCCTGGCGGTCAAGTCACTTTCTGATACTCCCCAGACAACAGGAAGATCAGTCTCCCTTATCCAGAAGTTTTAAAACAACATCTAGACATTACCATGAAATCAACCATTTACAGTAAAGCAGACTAAAAAATACCCTTGTAATTCAGTGTAATAGGAGAGTTATTCTAATAACACACAAGACTTGTAGTCTCTCTTTGATGAATTCATGCTATTAAGTCTAAAGATAGAAAGCCTAGGTCATGATGACCTTTTCAGTTATTTAGAGAGTACTTACTCTAACTTACAAATTTTCTCAGTGCACTAAATAGAATTTTAACAGTAATTACTTCCTTATTTTATAATGCATACCAGAAGTTTTCCAAAATTGTGTTCAAAATGTTTTACAGAAGCTAATGAATACAAGCTAATTCATCAGAGTTGAGAAATAACTGTATAAGTTCAATTTGAGACACACTGAAGTAATCTAATTTTCAGCAGACAAGCACTTGCTACTTTGCAAAAACCAGACCTCTCAATTTCAAAGGAGATGAGTAACTACCATAATATAATAATACAAAACTGGGAGGAGTGCCTGATACACCAGAGGATCATGCTGCCATCCAGAGGGACCTCGACAGGCTGGAGAAATGGGCTGACATGAAGTCAGCAAGGAGACGTGCACAGTCCTGCACCTGGGGAGGCACAACCCCGTGTACCAATATATGCTGGGAGCCACCCAGCTGGAAAGCAGCTTAGCAGAAAAGGACCTGGGGACCCTGGTGGACACCAAGTTGAACATGAGCCAGCACTGTGCCTTTGCAACAAAGAAAGTGAATGGTATCCTCAGCTGCATTAGACAAAGTATTGCCAGCAGGTTGAGGGAGGTGATCCTTCCCCTGTACTCAGCACTGGTGAGGCCACACCTAGAGTCCTGTGTCCAGTTCTGGGCTCCTCAGTACAAGAGACATATGGATGTACTAGAAAGAGTACAATGAAGGGCCATGAAGATGAGTAAGGGACTGGAGCACCTCTCCTGTGAGGAAAGGCTGACTGGGACTGTTTAACCTAGCGATGAGAAGGCTCAGGGGGGATCTTATTAATGTATATAAATACCTGAAGGGAGGGTGCAAAGAAGGCGGAGCCAGGCTCCTTTGTCATGCCCAGTGACAGGACCAGAGGCAATGGACACAAACAGAAACACAGGAAGTTCCCTCTGAACATCAGAAAACACTTTTTTTTTTTTACTGCAGGGGTGACTAAGCACTGGAATGGGTTGTCCGGAGAGGTTGTGGGGTCTCCCTCCTTGGAGATATTAAAAAACCACCTGGACACAGTCTTGGGCAACTGGCTCTAGGTGGCCCTGCTTGAGCAGACGGGGGTTGAACAAGACTTTCTATAGAAGAATAACAAACTTTACTCACCCAGTATCAGTTTTGTTCTGAATGATGCTAATATCATCTGGAGAGAGTTCTGGAATCCACTTCTCCATCTCATCAACCCAAGGGTATCTCAGAGATGAAGGCACTACAATTAAGAGAGGCCATTCGTTTTTATAGTAATACGAAATGGCGATTGCTTGAATTGTTTTACCTAGCCCCATCTGGGAAAAGAAAAGAAAAAAATTAAAAACAGAAGTCTCTGCTCAGAGAGCATATTCCATTCAGAAAAGCCAAAAATATTTTGCAAAGACAGAACCAGATAAAGGAAACAAAGCCAGAGCACTAGTTACATAGTATCTATTTCATTGTCAATTTGTTACCACAGATCACCTTTTATGAAAGAAGATGCTTATCTTTAAATGGATTAATACATATGTTATATGTAGTTAGCTCATTAAAGCTAAAAGAAGCATTTCCATTCATTTCAGAAGATTTTTCTGCTCAGAGCCTTAGTAGCGTAGACTATAAAGATCAAACTCTAACTTCTTAAGTTACCAAAAACATTTTAAAAAGACTATTCAAAGGAAAGAAAAATATGGGATGTCTTCGTAACATAAAAATAACAACTTTGTCCTAAGTTGCATAGGCAACTGAAGAACAAAGGAAGATTTGTATGAAGAACTCTGCTTTTGACCTAGTAGGTCAACAAAAAGAAACTACTGATGTCATTCACCATAGCTAATAGTTTCTCTTTATTCTGTGACACAGAAGAGGAAGTCCACCTAGTGGAGAATTCAGATTTACAGACAAGGTGAAGGGTAAAGATACAATACATAGATATATATTTAACAAGAAAGTACTTGCTTCATATTGTCGAGGTAGGAGTGCTCCCATCGAATGACTTACGAATATAGATAGCAACAAATGAATATGAGGTCCAGAATTCAGGGTTTTGTTTAAAAAATAAAAACCCCAAGATTTTATCAAAGAACGCAGCTATTTTCTCTACTTGTTCACATGGCAACAGATAGTTCCAGAGTCCTGTTAAGCACTACAGCAGAGACCGGCCTTAAAATATTCTGTTCAGGTTTTCCACAGAGACCAATGGATATTTGAGTTGATTTGCTGCTATCTAAGTACTCATGGTACAGACATAAAGGAACAGCTTACTTATATCCTCAGTACTGAGTTTAAATGGACTGATGTAATAATATCACAAGGAGATTTCCCAGGCATAGAAGAAAACATAATGAATATTTCTACTATTACTAGAAAGAAAAATAATCAGAGAACTACTGTGATACTAAGTTTTCATTAAAAACTGCCAAGTTTTCATTAAAGTTTTCCTGCAAGCCCCCGTGGTGTCACCAGTAGTGCTTGAGCCAGCTGAAAACAAATCCAAATGAAAAAAAAAAAAAAACCCAAACCAAAACCACATTAATTTTTAGTTTGTTGCCACAGTTGTCGCCCTAACTCAGACTGCCCAGCCACTGGTGCACTGGTGATGATCCAGGCAACTGAGTTGAAATGAGCAGGGAATAAAAGGCAGGTCTCTTGGCAGTACCACACCCATAACTGAATCTAGATCCCATTTAGCTGATGACCAGTCTGGATCATAAGAAGGTGAGAGACAAGAAAAGCCATAGAAAATATTATAGTCTTGGTTTTTGATTTAAACACATCTTTCTTGGTCATGGAAATGGATGACATGGAAAACCTGAAATTTTTTGGGGAAAAATGTTGTCAGTCCTCACTCCAAGAAAGAATGGCAACATATTTTTAGAATACCTTTCAAAAAGATACTATTATTATTGTACCTTAATCCTTACATAATGGCATAATCCTGTTATACATACAGTAATTATACGATCTCTAGTTTTCATACATAACTTTTTTGTATACAAGTTCACAATACCGATGTTTTCTTTTACCAACATTTTCTTATTATTTTAGAGATATGTCAACAAGCGCAAGATACACACCACTGCACAATACTTTCTCCAGTGCCAGACCTACTGTCATTATGAAATATACATTATTTACTTCAGAATAAATATATCTTGCAGTACTTTTTATTGCTAACATAATTATACACAGTTTATTTTCTCATTCAAGTAAGGAAATAAACTTTGTTTTAATAAACAAATAGCTACTGCTGATATTTCGATTTTTCCCAAGCTGCCCTTTTCTCCTCCCTGAATGCTTTTGTATTCTCCACAGTTTCCAGAAATTTCACATTCTATGCCAGGATAGTTTATCTCCAGCTGTAATGTGATTTTTATAGTATGAGGAGATGCTTTAATCCCAATAATCCATCTCTCTCTCCTTCTCTCCCTCTCCCCTCCAGTGTTTCAAGAAAATTCAAGTTAAAATTGGGAGACTATATCAATCCCCAAACATTACCTCTTTTTCACTAAGGTTTTATACTGACAACACATCAAGAACATTACACTCTATTACAAAAATGTTTTATCTGTAGGAAGAAATGCTGGACTCAAATTTCCCTAATATGGAATAAAATATAAATTTTAAAATGTATGGAAGTAATGAATTTCACTATTACTACTTGATCAGTGCATTTAAGAAAATTCATCTTTAGAAGGCATATCTGTTCAAAGTCCACCTCTTTGGGCCAGGAATGTCTCCTAATCCATTAAAAATAGCTAGCTATGCAATTATAAAGTGCTAAAAAAAAAAAAATCAACCGAGTTGATATTTAAGATTTAACAATGCAGGAGATTTAACCTACCTAAATACAATTAAAAGTACCTTCTAAGTTTTCTCAAAGATTCTTTTAAGCTTATGTCAGGTTTCATTTTTTTCCCCGCTTAGATATTTTCAGAATATCTGCTGAATATCACAGGAATTAGGCTTCTTTCATTACCAACCTTTCTGCCCACATCTCTCAAACAAAAAAAGTCACATCCACATGAAATACATTAAAACAAGAAAAATGGTGTTAGAGGAACAGGAACACTTACCTCATCAGCTATCATACACCTAAATAAGAAACAAGAAGAGAGGGAGAAAAAAGCAGAAATTAATAGTAAATAGAACAGATAAACCAATACTTACAAATTGTTTACCATAAATTTAAAGTTATGGATTTGGAATCAATGAAAGGAAAAAAGGTAGACTTCATTCCTACAGGTATCAAGTACAAAAAGTAAATTTGGTATGAATTTGAAAGTAAGTATGCCAATTATTCTAAAAACACATTGAATTTGTTAGCATTACTGAAGAATTTGCATCGTAAAATTGAATTGCTGCTTTGGTCTAGTGCTATATGAATTGTGATCTTAAGAGACATTTTCAAGGCAAGAAGTGCATCTTCAAGTTTTTTTGTCTTTCAGAAACAGCAATGTTTTTGCTGCTTCATGATTAAGGATTATTTATATGTCAGACTGATTTTAAAAAGCTGCTTTCCAGAGCTGTCACATTTGTTTTGAAATAGAAACAGACACTCCCTCTCCCCCACCAATTGTACTAGCTAAAGTATTAGAAAATGAACTTGATTTTTTTTTCCCATTTTGGAGTCATTTCGTTAATGCTACTTCATGTAAAGACAATGACAACTCCAAGTCCCCAGTCAAAACTAGTAAATTCTGTTCAGCATATTTACATTTTCTAAACATTAAATGCCATCTTTGATATGAATTTCTTATAAGTATTTTCAGTTTAGTTTATTTCAGTTATTTAGAACATACATTCTTAACTCAAGTAGGGTCTAGGGAACCTAAAATATTTCTAGCCCATGAAAACTTCTCCATCAAATCTTTGAGACTGAATGAAGGACAAAGGAAATTATTTGATGGATGTTTAGTTAAGCCATTAAATGGATGCTGCTGCATCTTTCCGAATGTGTACCCTCAGCTATTTTTCAAACTCAGCTCTCAGCTATTTCACAAACTTTTACCTCCACTACTTTACAAACTTTTCCAAGCTGGAAAAAAAAAACCAAAACCAAACCACAAAACAAAAACCCCCCAAAACCTAACCAACAAGCCTATCCAATTCAAAAGCATTATCTAAAGAATTACAAGAGCTTGCTCTACCTCTAGTAATTAGTAGATAAAATACATATATTAAATTCATACACACTAACAAATTCAGAAGAAGGCATGAGTCTAAGCAAAAACTGTGAAGATAAGAAAGAGGTGAGGAGACAATCTACTCCCTTTAAGTCTTACAGCAAGGTGATGACTTAAAGTGCCCTTTTCTTCTATAGCAACCCTGGACTGCATGAAGATACAGATTTACTATGTATCTTCTGACCAGAATCAATGCTGGGAATCCCAAGGCAAGATCTGAAACAGGCACAAAGTGTGAATTTCTGCAACTTCGTAAGAATTGTCAGAGTTCAATAGCAATACCTGCTTAGGCTGCAGTTAAATAACTGGTAATTAGAAGAATTCTCCAGCTACTAAGTAATCTGGGAAGTTTTTCAAGCATTGTATGATTTTCTGAATTGTCACAAAAAGCAAACTGGAAGAATAACTCCCACCAGTCAGTATCATAGTGCCACACAAAGGGCATGGGCTTAGTCAAACCATTGATTGAGAAATACAGCGGTGAGCGCTGTTGGTTGAACTAAGTGACAGGAATAGACTGACAGCTCTATGCAGTCCATCACTTTGCTTGAGGATTTATAAATGTTTACTGACAGAAAAAAGTGTCAAGTCTCAGAAATGATGAAATATTTCAAGCTCTGGAAGGGAATAAACTTCACAGGCCACTCTGCTTGTTTTCCCCTGACTCAAGTATCCTTCTGCCTTGTGCTTTTCACTTATTATCCCCAGTAGCTTTCAGTCATGGACACAAACTAGTCTTGATGAATTGCTCTGGATGAATTCTTCTTCATAGTCTGTTCCCAGCCACTGCATCTTCTAAGGAAACTGAAACTTATCCTACTCCTATGCCACATACCTAGATGTGCACCCACTGCACCACGTAACTCAAATGCAATGATCCTTCCATGAAAAAAATGGAAAATCTTTCAGGTATGTCATCACAATAATAAGAATTCAAAATATATCTTAAATAACTTAATTTTTTATAAGTAACAAACTATCTACTTGCAATAGCTTTGTAACCACACTCCCCCCCAAGTTGTTAGGGATGGAGGAATGAAAACAAAGGAAGAGAACATAACAAAACAAACCCCCCAAGTCTGCACAGATTTACAGAGGAAAAAAGGCAGGAAGAGAATTATTTTCAGTAGCGGCTCATGATTGTGAGGCCTTAATGCCTGTGATTTGCAGCTGGGCAAAGATACTTATTTGCGGACAACTAATACACAATCCTAATTTTAAAATAATGTCAGTTTTTACTCACTTCAAAGACTGATTTTTTTTTTTTCATTTAATACTCATTGTTAATTGCTTGAACTGAAGTTTACAAAACAAGTCTTTCTTTTTGCAGATTCTTTCAGAGGCTAACTGCTTTCAGTACATTAATCATGTTTTTTAAAAAACAGTTTGAAGCCTGAAATCAATTGGAATGCACAACAACCTAGTGTTGCAGGGTTTTTTAAACTCCTGTCACAAATGCAGAAAGTCAGTAAGACTATAGCAATTAGCTGCAGAGCAGAGGCATCTCAAGAATAAAACAAAGACCTTCTTCAACAATACAATATATTTAATATAAGGATATCAGAGCAAATGTACAAATATAGCAATAACCGAGAGTATATTGCATCCACGTAGCATCTGGTAGTAAGGAAATGTGGTAAAGAAGACAGGAATACAAATGTTCCTCGCCAACTTGTGCTGACAAATACAGTATTTCTCAGCATATCACTTACATTTTAGTAGAATTGCATAAATAATGAAATGTTAATTATACCAGTTCAGACATACAGAAATCAAAATGAGAATACGTAAGATTATATTGCACTGTTCTTTGGCATATGTGAACTAACTATTTGAACCCTCATTCTTTTTTTCAGCATAACAAGCTAAAATGAAGAAATTCAGAGTAATTTACAAATTGCTCTGACAATTAGAAGCTGAATAGCAATTAAAATAAAAAGCCTTAAAAATATGTCAACCACAGGAACAGATTTTTTTCCATAAAACAAGATTTTTTTCATTAGAGTGAACTGTAGCCACTTAAACGCTGATGACTTGAGTATCTGCCGAAGAATAAGAAGTTGTTCTGTTTTTCTTTTTGCACTCATTTTCAGACTGTGCTCATAGAACCTTTGCTGCTACAGAGTATCTTCTGTTTTCACCTTTATTAACTTCCACTTAATATGTCTGAAGTGAAACTTCTTATGTAGCAGTGACAGTTTCTGGCTTTTAAATATTTATAGAAACTCATCATTTTGTTGCTGGTAAATGAATGGAAGTACAAAGTAACTGCCATCATTTTATCCATAACATAACCACTCTTAAAAGATAATCAGGGTAAAGTGATCAACACAGTTTTATCTTCCTTGTTTCTGCAGTACCAATACAAATAGACATTCCACAGAAACACCCATATGCTTAAAAGTTATGTATCTATAGTGATATTTTGCTATTTAGTTTTCATTCTCTTCTCTGACCCAATGATGAAATAGCTTTGTAATAAGTAGTTTGGATTTTCTTCCCATACTTGCAACCCATACATTTTTTTAGTCATTTAAACATTCGACTAGACTCATCACAGATTGATATGAATCAGGTGCACAAAATCATTTGTAAAGCTCCAGTTAGAGTATCTGAATGTGTTAAGTCCTCTGTTATGATACAGTTAGCAACGTGAATCACTGCTTTGAGCCACACTGTTCATACACAAATTCCTGCAGTGCTACTGTTTTAAAATTGCTGATTTATGCCAGTTAATTAACATTATTGACACTTACACTTGATAAAAGTTTTGACGTGACACACAAGATGAGTTTATGATACAGGTAGAAGTTAATAAAATTAATGTAAGTGGAAATTGAGGATATCCAAATTATTTTATGACTTAATGCATTTTAGAGCATTCATCCTCTGTAGCTTTCACAGTTTTAGAATAAGAACCTTAAAGATGCCTGCTTAATGTAGTTACAAAATATGAGAAGTCCAAAATTTTTTCATTAGACTCTAGGGCAATGAAAAATAGCTTAGATTACTGAGAGGGAAATCAAATGTTTCCAGTTTATAACCACAACAATTAGATTTGAAATGTAAAGAACTTCCCCATCATTATAGCCCAGATCACACAGAACTTGTAAGATATCTAATAGTTGCATTAAGCTGTTAAAAAGCAATACTTTACATTTTGCTTTACATAATCTTAAAAATATGCAGCCTCTATTTAAAACAAACTTCAGTATGTTCTATACTATTGCAGTCAGACCAGCTGCCAACATGAACATAAAGGTTCCATGCTGTCAAAGCAGAAGAAACAGATCTTCAGCTACATTGAAGGGACAAATATGTATTTTTGTTTCATGTATTTTGACTGCAAGAAGACAGACTTCTTGTTCTCTGAAGTTCAATTAGTCATTTCCTCTCAACTGGTAGTTACCGAATCTGAGCTTCATCATTCATACCCCATCTGTTCATATGACACCTTAATAATAGCTCTATCCAAGAATATAAATCAGAGCTATGATACGCAGTTTCATATCCTGTTATAAGCTCAGCCCACATGGTCAAAAGTTTCAGAAAAGCAGGGAAAAAAAAAATCATTTTAGATGTCTCAGTTACATTTACTCTCAGCAGCAAAGTCCAACCGTGCAAAAAGCACCACAGTCAACGGCAAATTCTTTCAGATTCTTTCCCATTTCATTTTTAAATGTTTCCCTTCTTCATAGTGAATCCTGTGGCTAGCATTTGAATCTCTGTCCATTTATCAAGGAAATCTGCTATTTTTTCCTAGCAGAAAGCATCAGAATCTCATTGGGATGCATTGCACATGCTGCTACAATCTTCCTACTATGCATAAACCTTTTGCAGTTGTAGGCTTAGCAATGGGCTTTGGACACAGTAGTATCCTTTGTAAATAGAAGGGAGCCACATAGTCTG